CGAGAACTTCACTCTATCCTGTTGGCAAACTGGGCTTTGTAGCCGGCGGATTTTGCTATGCAAAATTCCGTCCTAAGCTGATGTGGGCTTAATGCGCGGCTGGGCTTATTAACCGTGGGCTTAATAACCGGCGACTACTGTACAACGATCCAAAACGTTCTATAATTAATAGCCCGACAGCCGCACACATTTTAAGTCAAAACAATGGGGACCAGAGACCTAGTCAACAATACTGCTGACACCCAACATTGAAGTCCAAAATGCATACGGCCGACTAAAAAAAGCGGTACGTATCATAAATTGCGCAAGGAACTCAGGAGCAGACGACCAATACAGCTTTAAAAGAGCCACATTCATGGAGACTCTCGTGGAGAAACAGCACAATCACGGCCGTGCAAACATCAATTGATCATGTGGACCATGTACGACCACAAACTCAGAAATGTGGTAAGAAACCCACGTTGTACATGAAACCAGTTGGTAGGCAAACAATTAGAAGTATCATCCACACAGGGCAACCAGGTTGCCTGAGACATACATACTAACGTCTACGACGCAACCGACCAATACAGGGAAAAGAATTTGTTGATAACCGTTGTTTTTGTACCACATAGTACGCAACAAGCCCGTCTTAGGGAATCAACGCACAGGAGTTAACAAAACAGCTAGCACAATACCTACTAAATGTTGGTACTGGTTAATCGGTGGTAAGTGAGCGACAGGGCAATAATACATGTAAACGGTACAGAACACTTCGCACAACGTAATTGCAGATTTAAGTATCTTTCGTTGAGGTGGCACGCTCGAATGTGTAACTCAGCACGGACGCCAGTGGTCGATGAGTTGGCTATTCTATACTTGCGTTGCCTTTCGCTATAGCAATAAAGACTAAATGCCGAACATTACAACAACTGCATCTACTAACGTAGGCTGTGCTATTTGTAATGTGGTACGTCGGGTGACGAATACTTAGCGTGGACAGAGCAGTTACATTTTGCAATATCCGACAGTCCTGATCATTAAACGACGATTACTACACTTCACGCAACAAGCAGTAAATCAAGTAACCTTATTTATCTGGTTTTTTGATGTCCACCACGTCTATTGAAGCATACCCATGATGCCATTGCCGGAAAATTCGCTGCGACGCTGGACAGAATTGACAAGCTTTGTCAGCATACACGATAAGCGTGAAACAAATAAAAGATTCGTTTGCATTAACTGAGGACGGTAAAATTCACGAACTACTAGTGCAGAACGGCAGAACATGAGAAAAGTAAGGCAAAATAATTTACCGAGGCAGTTTATTATACACAGGCTGCACGAAATTTACAACTTCAACTTAGTCCTTCTCCAGTGACGCCTTTTGGCATTGTATCGAATGCGATTGCCAGTTCGTAAGCGAGCCCAATATGGCAGGGTTCTGTTTTGCTTCTGTTTCTTGCCGAGCTTGGTCTTAAACCTCAAGGTCTTGTGGGCACCCTAAAAAGTACGAGACAATAAGAAAACCGCGTGTCTACCATGGTCGGAACCAATCCCGAAGTGCGCGCTACTGATAACAGGAGTTAGTTATAACAAGAACAATAATTTAAAGCAGATCGTTCACTGGTACGTCAAGCTAAAGCTTCTGGGTCTCCATAATGCCAATCAAAAACACTATAAATAACAATTAAATAACAAACCCCTTTAAAGACCTGTGGGCACATTGCGGCCATGATTAACATTGCATCGCTCCAAGTGGGCTAGAAAATTGTGCCGTCGTGGACAGGCTAGAGCGCAGAATGGAGTGATGATGATTATACCAGAGGACAAAGTTGATATCTAACTCACGATTCATTAGCTGATTAATTCATTGCGCAAAGATGCAGAAAACTTCTGTCAAATAAATTTATTCAAACTCGGTGTTTGGCGTGACAACTGTTGGTTTGTCAGGTGAACATGGATAGATCAAATAGACGAAAACTTGGGCTACCGAGCATATTCTTAAACCAAAATAACTGTAAATGTTGGGACCTTTATGAAATATTAATACGGAAGAACATATAAAAAGCCTGGAGGGCAATGCTTGTTACTGCGCGCAATCCGTTGAAGACATCTAAGAAAAACAGTCCTTGCCGTGGGTCCCGTTTAGTTGGCCCGCCTTCATAATCATATGTAATCAGCAGTTTTCTAACCCGTAAATGCACTTAAGCTGAATCCTCGCTCATTAATAAATCCATTGCACGATTCAAGTATAGGAAATATTAATGCGGTATAGCGGGCGCAGCGGGTGGGAACCCATGCCACTGTTATAGATAAGACCAACACATGTCCGTCCATGCCATTTAATAAACTTCGCATAACTTCAAATTAGCGGGACAATTCTGTCCCACATGCACTGCCTGCACTTGACATGCATGAATAGGTTGCATAAGCAAAGTCAACTAGGCCTACTAGTACAGACAGTAGTTGGGCTGCCTTTGTTTTACATTTGTCAATGATTTACCATACATTTTTTTAAGAATGGTAGGCCATTTATGTATGCTGTTGATTTTTTTAGCTTTCAATCGATCCAAACCGCAGATCAAAACGTCGTGATTTAGCTCTTGAAAACTGATTTCAGGCCTTTACTCCGTGGTGTGGCGTATGGCACCTTTCCCCTTCGTTTCATAAATGCACTCTTGGCGGCGACCTACAGCTTCAACTACGCATAGAAGGTCACGACATAAATTTTCTCCGGAGGTATTAAGGAGCTGGACATATCTCATACTTCGAGAACTTGCCAATGATCTGGGTGGATCACAATGTATTATATTTCACTAATTATTGGAATGAGGCGAACTACCGGAGGAATGGGGGTGTGTCCTCATCATCCCTAATGGCAATGTTCCGGAACCAAAGGAGAGAGTGGTTCCAGTGGAAAAATGGTCCCACTTTCGTCCAACTGCGCCGTGATTGCGTATATGGGCAGTATTCCGTGCACTGGCCGGGGTAGTCTACAAGCCGTCATCGAAATCGATGG